TCACACATTCATTTTTGTGTGTCACTCATCACTCAAGTGGAGTTTCATCATTTCATTGAATGATTCCTTTTAAAATCACTTGCACTATTTCTTATTCCTTAAATTGTTATATCTCTACAACTAGAGCATAAGCTCCTTGAGGACAGGAGTTGTATACCATAATTTCCTACAATTCCCACAGTATCTTCCAAAGTACATTCCCAAACAAACACTTATTTAAGGTTGTAAGATGCATCCTGGCAGTTTCAAAAGCACAGACAGTTTTTAAAAAGAAAATATGAGCTCCATTTATTTGACAGCAGTCTTGGACGATCTGTCATCTTATTCAGCCACACATACATGTGTAGGAGTAAGCTGTCTTCCATAGAGACTTTTATAATGTGCACACTCCTATAACAAGCAACTTGCACAGTCTTTTCTATTCATCTAAAACAAGGCGTGAGAACAGCCTAGTGTTTAAGAGTGCAGGCTATGGAGACAGACTGCCTGGGTTCCTATCTAGGCTCTAACACTTACTGTCCATGTGACCTTAAACAAGTTATATAACTTCTATACCTTTTGGTTTCCTAATGTGTAAAAGAAGAATGATAGTAGCTACCTCAGAGGACAGCTGTGAGAATTACATTAGTACATATAAAGTACTCAGTGCCTAACACACAGCAGATTATAAATGTCAGTCATTATCATCTTAGGTTAGATAACATAATTTATCTGTAGAAAGAGCTGCTATAAAAATGTATAATGCATTTTAAAGAACATTCAAAATGGTTTTAGAAAAGTGAGAAGCAGAACAGCAATCTTTTAGGCTTATGTTCCAGCCTCTAATCACACTCCAAAACACTAAAACGCACTTGGAGGTACCGTGTTCCTGTATCACTGATCTTAGAAGGTTTACAGGTTTTAGTTCTCATTGCACCAAAAATATGTGTATATACACATCCAGATAACTTCAGTCATCTCTGTTATTGGCACAGAATACATCCTCAACAACCATTGTGAGAATAAATGAACAAGCTGTTCTACTTGTTATATTAGACAATTTTGGTACTAGAGATCTTCAAGGGTAGAATTTTTCTTTGCTGGAATGTACACAGGTTCAGCTATCTCTGACCCTCTTCAGTGTCCTCCAACTACAGCCACTACAATACACAATGATCTCCAGTGGGGATGCTTTGCTGTTCTTTATATGACCTGACCTAATTAATTTCAAAACGAAAGGAAACACAATACCTTATAGTACCTGCACAACTTAAATGACAGATAAACTGAACAGTATGAACTTCGTGGAGGTCCCAACATAAAGCATTGTATTTTTGTCAATTCCCTGACCTCAGACAAAATCCTTAAAAATATTTGGAAGAAATCCCAGAATTTTCAGGGCACTTTCAGCTATTAAAAGTCTACCTAGTTTAAAACGCCAATCACACACCTGAATTAGGACCTTCCCCAGGAAATGTCCTGGCTCCAGGAGAACGGGGAGGGGGAAAACAGGGAGCGAGTCTTTACAATGCCAAAGCTGGGAGTACAGGCCAATCCAAGTATCTCTGTGCCTGCTGCCAATTTCCTCCAATTTTTTGTTTGTTTGTTTGTTTGCCTACTTACGCAGGTATAGGGCACAGCAGTAAATATATGCCCCAAATATTTCTTACTTCTCACTAAGGAGAAGACATTTCTTGGAAGTAACGACCCCCATGTTTGGAAGGACTGTTCATTCACTCCTCTTACTCCAACCCACAGGAATGGAGTTGGAGAAAGGTGAGTAGTTAGTTTGGGGCTCGTTCCTGGCCCTTCTTTCACAAGGCCTAAAACCTCTCATTTAGAGAATAGAAGACAGAATGGGGGAGGTACAACTAACTGCCCATGGTTATGTTTTTCTTTTTTTCTTTGTTCCTGCTAACTCTAAACAAGACTCAATGGCGTTCTCAGGGGATGTCATAGGAAGGGGTGATATTCAAAACATTTAACAGGCAGGGGTGCCACCTAATCAGAGGGGATGTGCCCTCCAGGTGCTGAAGTGTACTCAGGTGGTTGGGTTACAGGCTTTTTCCTGACAGTAGGAAGTATCTTGGTGCTTTAGTATAAAGAAGGCAAACCAGTTGAGTATCACTCCTGCTTGCAGGCACACCTCAGAGGGTCCTGAGCAAAGGCATCTCTACCATATTCTCCCCTGATGTGAGAGACTGTCCCAGGCCTACCTTATGCAACCCCTCTCTGTTACTGTCCAACAGTCTTTTGCTTGATCACATGGATCTATTTTCTATTTATCCACTTGACCCTTGGGAAACTCATACATCTTTATAATGCCCAACTAAGAGTACAGCAGGCCATTCTGAGTCTCTCCATGCTGCCAACTTCCTTCAGTTTTCTTTTTTGCCTGGTCAGATAGGTAAAGGATCCAGCAATAAATTGATGTTTAAAATATTTCTTGTTTCTTGCCAAAGAAGAAGACGACATCTTTTGCATGTACCTCCCTCAATCTTTAACAGTGCTTCTCTTGGAGCTGCCTTCACTTCCCTTGACATGGGACATAGATAAAGAATGAGAATTACTTCTCTCCTTTCCTCCCTGGGACACAGAGAAAAGGCAAAATATTCTAGATGTGTGGATAGCCTATGATAACCCTCTACCAAAGGATGACTTGAGATTGGAGTGGGGTAAGAGGAGGAACTCCTGGAGTGTTAAATAAGATAATAGTTGTATTAGGGCTATCTCTTTAGAAATCCTGAGATGGGTGTGGCCCAAACTGGAAGTAGTTTCTTGGTGGCTTTCCCTTTAGAATGTCTGAATTTAAGGTTGTGTCTTCAAATTGCAGACACCATCACCAATTCTAGGCAATAGGAAAAATCTTCAATATCTTCTTATATTTATTTATCTTAAAATGCATCAGAAATAATTAAATGTTATATTTTGTGAATGAAAAATGGACATCAAATACACATGGAATAAAAAAATTAAGAAAGCATAAATCTACTGGTGATTATCTGGAGATGCTGCTTAACCATTGTGCATATATTTAAGTTTAATTAGAAACTGGAAGGCTTTAGAATGTTATTCTAAAATACACTGTATTAGTATTAAGACATCACAGTGATTCAGTGCAAATAACAATGCAAGAAAGTTTTCTTATTTTTTAGGGATTCTGCTTTATTAAAAGTATATATTTTTGCTCAAATGTCATAAGAAACTCAGTCTTAGTGTAAGCTGATTTGCTATAATTGGAATAGGCTTATTTCAGTCATTTTACCCCGTTAAATTATGATACCAACATTCAAACATCTGTTAAACCATAGCATCTGTTTCATATTTGGGACGCATCCCTACAAATTAGAAAAGTGTTCTTTTTAATGAGTTCTGATTTAATAAGGAATCCTTTTTTTATGACTGCTATGCCAAAGAAAGAAAACGAGAAGACGAATCCACTCTTTACCAGCCCCCCATGCAGCAAAGTACCCCAAAGGTACATTTTTAACAAAAAAAACTGTTTAAAGATAAATATCACATATTGAAAGTTGGTTTTACATTTTAGTATTGTTTAATATTTAAGAAATCATACGTATTTTTGTATATATGTATGCCCACATACATACACATGCAATTATATAACCAGCACAAGCAGAGGGTCATACACCCATATTATTCAAGAAAAATAATCACTTCGTTCAAATAAATTATCTTGACAATCTATACAGTCTTAGAGTTACTAGACAAATGCATGACCTCACAGTCTGTCTGTTTACTAGGATTTGTTTACAACTCTAACTCCAAAGGAACTCTCTTGTCAGATCTTCACTGTTTCAGCTGTATCTGGAGTAGTACTTTGCACTGACTCATGCAGTTCTTTTTAGAACTATTCCCTGCTGTCTTCATTAGTTTTCCTTAGAGTTTCCCAGTCACTTGTAGCACTCTATTGTGGTCTGAACTTGTCCTACACAGGAAGCATGTCAATGTACTGTCAGACAACAATGGGTTAGTTTGTTCCATTGTTTATTAATTTTACTTTTTAAGGACTTTGCATTTTTATATTTCTAATTTGGACCTGGTAATCTTTAAAAACCGAATTTAAAGATATTATATATTTTTAATGCATAAGTTTTTATGATACAAATTACCATAAAATTTAGAAATTTTAGAATATGATTGGTTATTCCATTAAGTTACATAAACTACAAAAAATTTACAAAAGAACTCAAAGGGAGCTCATTGAAAGGAAACCAGAAAAATGAGAGAAAAGAAAAAAAAGTTTAGTATGAGATTTTTGGTCATCCACTTTCTACCTCCTAATTTATCTTACCAACAGAGAAAACTGCTACTAGAATGTCCAGGTGCTGAAAACATTTCTTCTGTATGTTTCCTTGAGTTAGGGCAGTCACAGGCTGGCAGAGAAAGCCACTGCCTTGCCCACCCTAGCAACAGGTGCTTCCGGCGTCTTCCTCCCCAATCCATCCCCCACCAATAAGGGCTCTGTTCCTCACCAGCTTTACGAAAGCACGTTTTCTACTTTGCCAATGGAAGAGTAGCATTTTACACACATGTCACATCAAATGTACAACCGATTCATCTTATAAAATCAGATTTTAGAACATGTCATATGAATTCTTCACCAGGAAAACAAAAATTCAAAAATCAACCATCTGATGTAAAAGCAGCGCATTCTGGAGATTTATAGATGGTTTATGGGAATCAGAAAAGGGGAAAATAACCACAGCTATTCTTTTGTGTTCAGGCTGGACTTACATAGCCAATCGAAGTAACCTTATTTTAAAATATTACCTGTGAAAAAAATTTTGCAATATCGCCGGGTAACCGTTCCCAATGCTTAATGACTCTTAGTGGCAAAATTCAGTTTTCCTAAATTAAAGGTTAACCCTCTCATTGTTGAAAATTAGATGTAACTCGTTTTATGGTCACAGGAGAGATGGTGCAGTTTAGGAAACACTATTAGAATATTTTGCGATTTCCACCTCTGCAGATCTTATCTCTATATATTCTTAGGAACTTGCCTCTGCCAGTTGAAAGAGTGCAGACTTTCCACAGCGTTTTACAGGCTCAGCACCACCCAACTGCGAAGTGTTTGAAGAAATCTATATTAAAGACAATCCACATAGAGAATATTAGTTGTGATACCAGAATCTTTGCTTCTCATTCATACACATTCAGGAATTTTTCTTAGTTTTTGAGAGTATCATTGCTCTCGTGTACCAAATAACAAAACACGTCACATCTGGGATGATCATTTTGAGAACCATTTTCAGTAAATGACCTCAAAAATAATAACAAAAGTAGGTATGGCTGTTTAATAGTAAGAATATTGTCTTAGATATTCCAGGCTTTAAATTTAACTCTATAACCTTAAAGTGAGAAATGTATTTCAATTTCTATTTAAGTACTAACTTAACAACTAGTCAAATATAAAAGAGATTTAGAGTTATTTTGCATTTACCAAACAATTTTTTTTTGAGGAATATATTTGGGATCTCTGTGGAAAGACAGCATCAAGTCAGTCAACAAATTTTGTTTAGAATCCAACATATATGTGCAAGGCCATATGACAGCAGCTTAGGAACCTAAGAGTTTTATATAAAACACTGACCCTGGCTTTCAGAGTATGCTCTAATGTACATGCAAAGACTGATAATCAAGATCACAAATCTGAGTTGTACAGTTAATGGCTTATGCTGTATTGCAGTATATAACATATGTACGACATTAACATTGAATACATAATCTTCCGTAAATTTGGCTAAATAGTGGCTGGGCATTGATAAAAATGAACAGCACTGCCTTTTCTCATGTTTTAAATAAAAACCTCATTTTCAATTTCTAGCCTCGATAAGAGCGAGAAGGACATACATTCTTAAAGACATTTACAAAGCATCTTTACCTGGAGAAGTTCTGTCATTGTTAAGAGTGGATAGCTATGGTCTAAGCTTTTAGATTCTTTGTGATTCTGAATTACTTCTCAGTTAAAAACAAAGCTATTTCTCATTTCCATTTAGTAGGTAATCCTGCTTATGACTATATCCTTAAAGGTGACCACAGATCCCACAGGTGATTCTATGAAGTTGCTAGCTCCCAGAGACACTGGGTGCTTTGTGCTAGAGGAGATTTTCCCTAGAATACTTGCTGAATAACAGGTCTTTGTAGAAGCATGTATTTAATAATGGCCTACCTAGGCCACTAAAAAGGGCCTAGCTTAAGGAAGTTCCTCCTAGGTGCTATCAGTTTTAACAGAGCGTTTTTCTATTCATCTGTATCATTTACTTTTTCTTTAGAAGATGAATTTATGGGGCTCAATCTTTCTGAAGTTTGGAATATTTTCTTCTTGCCGAATTTTCACTGATAAATGCTACTTCTACCTTTTCTAGACATGTTGAATTCAATTACTCACCTTATCAGGAGACTAAGAGAAAACAAACACATTAATACCACTGGCTCTCAGTGCTTCAGGGAATGAAGGACTGAACATAAATGCCAGTGCCTTGAATCAACGCAAAGAATATGGCCTTTGTGCCAGACAGGCAAGCTTTCATTACTTGCTGCTGTGTGGACTTAAGCAAATAAGATTTTGAGCCTCATTTACCTTACCTTCAAAATACGAACAGTAATACCTGCCCGGAATTATGCTGTTAAGATTAGGTTGGATGCTAGTGTAGGGCAGTGCTGAAGAGATATTATGCTCTAAATAAATGGCCCAATTATTACTAATAATGATTTATCTTTAACACTTAAACATAAACACCTTTTTAGTACAATTCCAAAAATTAGTTACACACTGAAGTGGAAGAGAATTAAAAGTAGCAGTGTCTGCAGATAGTTATTAAATTTAGTAATTTGGAGAGCATTAAATTTGTCGCATAATCCCATGACACGCTCAAGAATTACTGAAGGACCACAAGCTGGGTAGCGCTGCACTTCACACCCATGCTGTTTTTCTGCTTCTTCCACCGGCTCCCTCTGCTGTTGCTTTTGAAACCTCACTGCAGGTTTTCGTTCCCTGTGTATGTTACTCCCACATATCCTGTGCCCAATGCAGTGCACGGCACACTGAGAGGCTCATGAATGACTGACTGCATGGATGCACTACCTGCCCTTAGAGTTAAAGCACAGCTGTCAGAGAGGAGGCTTGAGAATGGTCCCCTTCGGTTTAGTAAGAACCGTTTTCCTTATTGCCTCTGGGAGGATTTTCACCTGCTTGCAGGTACAGGGAAGCATTTTAAATGCTCAAGGTTGCTGGAAGCCTGATTCCCAAAAGGGCATGTGTAGGGGGAGGTTCAACATATTTTAGTAGTCCGACATTTCCAGAATCTCCTAACAGTAACATTTTTATGGCATTACACAGTGTGAGGTATGATTTCTAAAAGTTAAATCAAAAACTTAATTTGAGGGAAGGAAGTGTGGAAAACAGAGCATATGTTAATTTCCATGGCTTGGTCCTTATCTTAATTTCTTTGCAGCATTTGACAGTGCTAGTCTTTCTTTAGGAAAACTCCTTCCTGCCCTTCCGTTACCGCAGGGTCCTTGCTTTCCTCGTATGTCTCAGGCCACTCCTCGTGGTTCTTCTTTGCTGGCTCTTCTTTCCATAACAATCCCTTCAATGTTTTTCCTTAGTATTTTGTCTTAGGGCCCTCTCTCATCTATGCTGATGGCTTCAATTTCAAGCACAGCTAGTACAACAATGATTTGTTAAATCACTGTTTACTCCTGCCCATGCTGTTCTGCCTAAGAGACATATATATCCTTTCAGATAGAAACAATATAGTTAACATCTGTTTTCCAATGACTGGTCAGTCTGGAGGGCAGTGTGTGTTTGCTAGGTTGGTAGGTAGAGGGCACTAGTGGGCCAGACTGCATAGGATGTTCATGGGCACGCTTCTTATTTTCCTCAAATTGGATAGGGCTTGCCAATAAGTTAATTTCACTGTAGTCTCTCTTTTGACTATTATGTGATGTTCGGATAAACAATATTCATCCATAAAGGCTAGCTACAGGGTAGATGTGACAGTACATGAGGTACAGCTAAAGTGCTAAGAAAAATGATCACCCTGGATGTTAAACTGCTAATTTTATGGCTGTCTGAGGTGGGTGAACAAACAGGTGGTAAAGACCAGAATCAAATTAGGTAATGGTGGAAGTCTTTTGCAATTATAAAGGTATTGTAAATATTGTAGTCTGGGAGAAGATGACTGATAATTGTTAAAAGAATAAGTGAGTCAAAGAGCAAATAAGGTGTTCCTTTCCTTATCTTCCTTATCTAAAAAGAAATATTAGTGCTTCCAATAAAACACATAATACATCCACTGATTAGTTACAGTGTAAGTATTTTTTTTTTTTTTTTGAGATGGAGTCTCGCTCTATCACCAGGCTGGAGTGCAGTGGTGTCATCTCGGCTCACTGCAAGCTCCGCCTCCCGGGTTCCCGCCATTCTCCTGCCTCATCCTCCCAAGTAGCTGGGACTACAGGCACCCGCCACCATGCCTGGCTAATGTTTTTTGTATTTTTAGTAGAGATGGGGTTTCACCGTGCTCGCCAGGATGGTCTCGATCTTCTGACCTCGTGATCTGCCTGCCTCGGCCTCCCGAAGTGCTGGGATTACAGGCGTGAGCCACAGTGTAAGTATATGGTGTTTTTAATTGACTGTAATATTGTGTAACAAACTGAGCATTCCCTCATAAAATAAATGCATTAAATTTATACCTACTGCTTATATACAATGGTGACAATATTTTAATTTTGGTGACATTATAGTTATATTTATATAGGCAAAGTAAATATCTTCGAAGGGAAGTTTTAAAGTCCAAATCTATCTAAATCACCCAGATTAGCTCTGTGTCTTCAAGGTAAATATAATTTTTCAATGCAAAGATATCCTCTAGGTGTAAGAGTCAGCCACAGAGCAGATCAGAGAATATGTGGATTGGTCATGGCTTTTAAGCCTGTTAAATAATTAAAGACAACAGTTCCTTTCTGACATTATATTTGGTCATTAGTCTTTGGTAAACCAGATCTAAAAAGTGACTGATGTGTCACTACCTGTAAACAGAAGATGCAGTTAGGAAACTCATTCTGACCAACTTAATGGATCAGAGCCTGGAAACACAGAGTAGATGGCACTTTGGATGGGTCAGGCTGAATCTGGATGAAATATGACTGTCACCTTGGAATGGGAGACAGGCTGAAACCGGGGGTGGGGAGTTAGAAACTGACCCTGCGTTCTGTATTTCTTTCAAAATCCTGATTTTTCTCCTCTTAAATGTAAACATTTATGAGGTACCTACAAACAAATACGTTTATTCAGTTTCATGGTTCCATATAGATTAACTTCAATGAGTTTTTCAATGATCAGATTTGGTTAAGAAGGAAAAATATCTTTCTCATCTTGCAAGGAAGAGATCAGGACTCAATGAAAAAAACAAAACAAAACAAAACATTTCCACTTAAAGAAATTACCAGAGTTTACTGTTAAAAGTATGTTTCTCAGATAAACATTTCACACGACAAATAACCCATTTCCAAGAGAAAATCTAGTTAACTTCTTCCCAGCGTTATAAGAGTTTGTAAATAAAATGAACAGAAATAGTTTCTGAGAATTTTGCATGCCTGATCTTAAAATGGTATTACAAAGCTAAATATTTTTAAAAGATAAATTGTTTCCTAGCTTATATAAACACCCACTTCTCTTTAAGTGTACACAATAGGACAAGGAATCCCTCTGAAAAGAGAAGGGCTATAAAGTGCTCCACTCAGTAATTTTCTATTATACATCAATCCCTTCCTCTCTTGACCCTTCCACCGTGAAGTCCCAAAAAAATTAATAAGTGCCTTAACAATAATGATTTAATAATTTGGGTTTTTTAAAAAAACACATAACTACAGAGCCGTGGTCTCAAACTGTGGTTCTCTAATAGGAAACTTGTTGGAAATGCAAATTCTCAGGTCCAGCACCAGATTTAATCAGTCAGAAGCTTTGGCGGTGTGGCCCAGCAATCTGTGTGTAAACAGCCTTCTAGGTGACTCTGATGTATTATAAAGTTTGAGAACCTTTGCTTTTGACTAATTAAAACAAGAATTTCAAGAGTCTTTGGGTTTTCTCAAAGGTGATGGTGTTTTACGAAATAATTCTAAGAGCTTTAGGGATATCGCAGTGAGTAATTACAGCCTATTCTATTTCTATTGCAATACACACGCTCATAGCAGATTTTCGTAGATATTTTTATTAGTTCATCTACTTAGCTCTTATTTAGCCTTAAATAAAACCAGCCCAGTATTGGTCTGACAATGTGGTCAGATTGTAAGATGTTAAAGATTGAAAGTTAGGGTACTGTCGGGTTAGAGGAGGAAAGTGAAGAGAGAGGTTATGTATCCTTTGAGAACCATGAACTACTCTTGTATAAACACATATAACATTTACAGCTAAATAGCCAAAGATACAATAATTTAATTTGCTGAGGAACTAGGGCTATTACCAATGGTTGCAAAATATAACCAGGAAAAGTTATATACTTGTGGGGACTGCATCTCATTCTAGGGCAAAACAGAACATGTATATTTTTACACCATCAATTTTATTTTGGTCTTTCTGTCATATATGCCTTCCTATATTTTGAAACAACTCCTAATTAAGTTTAAAAATTACTTATTTTTTAAAAGGCTCCTCAAATCCTGCATACACTTTATAGCTAAAAACCCCAAGAGTCCTCAGGAGATGAGTGCTGTACAGCAAAGGGGCAACCTCTGGAAATGCCACCCTGCATGACTCTCTCCTCCGAGTAAGAAGTTCTTTTCTCCTCTAGAAAAAAAAACTTAGTATAATTAAGAGGCAATGACCAAATCTCATTCAAGAATTAGTGTACTGAGCAGGAAGGACAAATTAGTTTATGAAAGGCACGGGATCTCATCCTGCAGAATCACAGGATGGTGGCTATTACACCACCAAACTGGTCCCTTAGAGCTGTCCCCAGTGCTTCAGGAGCTAACAAGTGTGATGATGGTGTTGCTAAAATAACAATCATGGCCAGGCATGGTGGCTCTCACCTGTAATCCCAGCACTTTGGGAGGTTAAGGAGGGCAGATCACCTGAGGTCAGGAGTTTGTGACCAGCCTGGCCAACATGGCGAAACCCCGTCTCAACTAAAAATATAAAAATTAGCTGGGCGTGGTGGTGGACACCTGTAATCCCAGCTACTCAGGAGGCTGAGGCAGGAGAATCGCTTGAACCTGGGAGGTGAAGGTTGCAGGGAGCCGAGATGGTACCACTGCACTCTAGCCTGGGTAACAAGGGCGAAACTCCGTCTCAAAAAAAAAAAAAAAAAAAAAAAAATCATACACTGAATCATAGGCTGAGCAGTGATAAGAGTTAGAACCAGCATCAGCTGAGATATTCCATTATTCCATACTGGTATTTTAAGTTAAGCTGGATACTCTTGGTAGTCAATGCATATGTAAATATCAGATGTGTCAAAGATGAGCCACTACCTTTCTAATATTCCTGCTATGCAGTATAGAATTTAATCAAACAGAATACATGGCAAATCAATTCTGCTTTGAAAAAAACGTTTCTGAAAAGTTAGATAGAACTGGCTCAGACATCAACATTAAAAATAAATTTAGTCAATATGGCAAAATTCCTTTTTAACTCTGAAGAATTAATGGGCATCAATAACTGGAAGAAAGCAAGAAAGTATTATTAACAAAACTATTTCCCCTAGACAGTGAAAATAACAGCTCCCTTATTATAATGGAAAATTGGAACAAAATCTTAATTTATTCAGATTAATTAAGCAAATTTTTCTTTACGAAATAACATTATATATTTTTGTTACCAGTTTTATACAATAGCCCTCAGCAGCTAAACAAATACTATGGCAGGGAAGCCTAATACATAAGCAGGCCAACCGATGGTATAAAGTCATAGTAGTTGACACAAGTTGTCCGAAGAGGAAACAGCTTTTTTTCTTTTTTTTTTGTAAGAGCCAAAAGTAATTTTTTCTCATTTTCAAAGTAAGATGGTAGGTTTTCTTCTGCCAAAAGGATATCATTTTACATTCCATTTATGCAGTACTCTTTATTCAAATGAATCAAAGTGATTCAATACATCAATATTAAACAGCGCAGTCCTGCTTGTCATTTTCTCTCAACCCTATAAAAAATTGCTTGGTTTATGATATGCATTTTTTAGTTGGGATAAAAACGAAAAGAAGAAAAGACCTAAAGCAGATAGTATCTTATTTTCATAAACTATATACGTTTTATTATTTGCCACATAGTGCTCATTAGAAATGAACATATGGTTGAGGCCAGGGCTTTTGTGGCAAAATCAAGAATATCAGATTTGTCTCTGCAGCATACCAACCAAAAAAGTTGCTCTCTGGTGTGTGCTCTCTTCGGCTGACAAACCAAAGAAATCTGAGATCTTACAAAAGCTGACCTGATCTAAGCCTGGGATTACACACTAATAAAAATACTGGCTGAAGCTACATCACATTGAAAGCTAATTTAACCTGATTTAACAGGTCGTATTCACCACTGCAATCACTGTGAGAGAGTTATTCATGAATTATAGCATCAATTTCACTATTGGAAAAATTTAATAAATCTAAACTTTCTGGCCTTCGTGTTGACAGCAGTTTTTCCAAGCTTTTAAAATAAATTAAAAACAAGATAAAATGAAATAAACACATTACTGGTATTCTGAATGAACTCTTCGATGAATGCTTATAAAATGGGTGTAAAATCTGGAGCTGATTTGACTATGATTACATCAAAGGCAGCAGAAAAAGCAATAAATATTCTGTTATGTACATTATGTTAATAATGACAACAGGCATGCCTAAAGTTCACTATACATTATAAAAACTCCATTCCAGTATTCCTGAGCTCAACAAGTTTTCTTAGCCCAAAAAGCATTTTAAAAATGCCATACCTCTGCAAACTGAAACAAGGCGGATGTTTGACACTGCTTTGTAGAAGCATCAGGGTGGGACGTACTTGAAGATATCTGAAAGGAAACGAGCAATTCTTAATGCACAATGACATTTTTCCATATCAGACCATAAGATTCTGCCATATATTTTCAACTGTAGACACTGATAAAGATTTAAAAATGAGTCATTACCCTCAATCCTTTTAGAAGAGCATTATTATTGATAAGAGAAGACAAAGGCCATGTTTCTAAAAACAGATGATTATAAAGAACAAAGACTGAGTATGGCTCATTTGCTATGTCTTTGGTAAGGGTACCAGAAAAAAAAAACAAAAAAATTAAGAAGACCTGTTGAAATAAATTTCTTTACTTAAAAAAAAAGGAAAAAAATGTGTATTATTAAAAGCTGGAGGCTGCAAGTAAAGCCACTCCCTCACTCTCTTCCCAACACCACTCCCTCCAAGCTCTTCTCTAGTTAGAGGCAGCTGTGATGCAGTGTTGGTGAAGCATATGGATGCGGGTCAGAGTATCTAGGAGACTGAATCTCAGCTCTGCTACTTACTTACCCACATGACCTTGGCCAGCTCAGCTAAACTTTTTGAGACTTACTTTTCACCACTGTAAATTGATGATGATGAAAATAATCTGCATTTTAGAGGATTATGGTGAAAAAAAAGAAGCCATAAAAGATGTTACCTAGCATGGCACCAGAACTCAATAAATGGTTTACTAAATATGAAAAGTATTTTCTTCTTTCATAGCTCCTGCATCCTCCCAACCAACACGAACACGCACACACACGCGCACACACACACACACACACACACACACACGCAGGCGCGCACACGCACGCATGCACACGCACGCACACACACACACACACGCCCGCACGTGTGCGCACGCACACATGTACACACATGCACGCACATGTGCACACACGCACATGCACACACACACACACGCACACACACGTCAGTGGGTGACAATGAATAGAGTCTGCCACCCTATACTTGATTCAACTAGGGGACCTTTTGTTTCCAGTTGGTAATTATGGTAGCTTCCTTTGACTTTGCTCAGAGGAACATGTGGAAATACTTTTCAAGGACATTTTGGGAGCAAGGTGAGTTAGTAATTTTGGTTCCAAAGTGAAAAATCCTTTTATTCAGCTATAAAACAGGATAAAAGTGGGTCACAGGAGCAGAAAGCCTGGGCGTTATAACTTCAGCCCATTCCCAATCCCACAAGTCTTTCCTTCAAGTAACTGTTCACCAACAACTCCATCAAAGGTTACTTACTAAGCAGTAAATCCACCTTCATCAAAACTCTTTAATTACAAAAACTGCTTTTTCATTTTAGTTAAACCGGTTAGAAAAACAACAGGGCCACACAGTTGTACAGTATAAAAGTGATGTTTAGGAATGAGAAAGAATCAGGAGGCTGGGCACCCTGTGGCTCACGTCTGTAATCCCAGCACTTTGGGAGGCTAGGTGGATCACTTGAGCCCAGGAGTTCAAGACCAGCCTGGTAACATAGCAAGACCCCGTCTCAAAATAAAAATAAAAAAAAATTAGTAGAGAGACTGACTGAGTAATTAATTGTATCCACTGCTGAAGCCATCAGGAAAATTTCGTTCTACTGTGCTTTTTAATCAGATAAGCATTTTTAGAATAAATATCAGTAAGAACAACAAATATCAACCAAATCCAATTTAACAAACTAGGTAGAAATAAACCATTTTATCCACTGTAAGATCTAACCAAGTGTTCTGAAGACATTCAAGGATAACATTTTAGAACTTTTCTTGGTCAAACCATGAATCTTGTCATTTCAAGTGACCGCCATGTGCAAGTATGACAGAATCCAAAAATGAACCCAGAGAAATCTTCCTTAAGTCTTAGGAATTATAAACTCAGTACAACTTATTTCAGACATTACTATTCATCCCTACCAATCCTTTATAAAAGTTAGAAAAAAATAAACAATGTATATAAGGGGAAATACATAAATATTGTAGGTTATACCTAAATACAATACATTCCTTTAAGAATTAAATCAGGCAGTGAACAAAATAGAACCAGTGTTATAATCTATCCAATTTTGTGAAAAAGTATCTCATAAGTTCTAAAAAAAAAAGGGGGGGATGTTATTATAAATTAATATTAAGATAAGGATTTCAATTAATAAATACATAGGAGCTCCTGGAGTTAGAGACCTTTTACATAAAAGCAATAGGATCAGGGATCTCTCTGGATCTTAGAAATGCTGTTAAAAGCCACAAAAGTGTACACATGCTAACATATCCAAAATTTCCTGTGAAATTTTAGAGGTTTCATTAGATCTTTAAAGGTTCAAGGATCATCTCTTAAGAAAAAAAACTTTCAAAGTTGGGACCAATCTTATACGCTTATAACTGCTTCTGAAAAAAAAGAGTGCAGGCTGAGCGTGGTGACTCATGCCCTGTAATCCAGTACTCTGACAGGCTGAAGCGGGAAGATCGCCTGAGATCAGTAATTCAAGAACAGCCTAGGCAACATAACGAGACCCTGTTTAAAAAAACAAAAAAAAAAAATTAGCTGGGCATGGTGGCATGCGCCTGCAGTCCTAGTCATCAGGAGGCTGAGACGAGAGGATCCCTCGAGCCCAGGAGTTCCAGGTTGCAATGAGCTACGATCATGCCACTGCACTCTAGCCTGGACGACAGAGTGAGACTCTGACTCTAAAAAAAAATAAAAAATAAAAAATGTTCCCCCTGTACAAAACTGTAAAACAGTTGGGCAAACACCAGGAAGGATGACAGTGGTGAAGAAAGTATGGTCGAAGACAATTCATATGATCAAGGAAAGACCAGGTGGCTTAAAGTTTAAGAAAAAAATTTATCAATGAGGGCTCATACTGAGTTCTAGAGTAAATTAAGATATTCTGAGCAGTCTTAAACTCTAGACTTGATATCAAGGATAATGTGCTTTTATACACCATCTCTTTGAACCAGTGTCAAGAGACCTACTGAGCTGAATAAGTCTGACAAAAGAAGACAAAAAAAACTGCCAACCTCATGCTAAAGTTTCAATTAAGATGAAGGTGTACTAAAAAAAGAAAAGAAAAAGAAATGCATAGATTAGTTGCATAGCCAATAACCATGAGCTGATTCTGTCTTCTGTTTTATCAAATAAACAATCAATAAATTACTAAATTCTAATAGCAATTCAATATATTCTTAACCTTACTATCCATGAGTAAAAATTAGTAATGAGGTTGATAATATTTAGTATGACTTTAACGATAAGCTTCTACAAATGCATAAATGTAGTTATTTCTTAATTAAGAACTCTAGAGACCCAAAATACCTTTTCCAAAATTGGATTCTATTTTCCTACTTATGGTTGAGCTGAGCAAAGTTCTGCATTGCTTTCAGTTACTGTTATCAGCCCCAATTTAAGCCCACTTTACAATTTCCTCGTTAGTTAAGTATCAATTGTAATATATTACCTCGGCAAACTGAAACAATGGTGACTTCTGACGTAATTCAGGAGATTCTGAAACATCAGGCCTGCATGTGCCAGAGGATACCTGAAACAAAGAAAGATACCATATTTTCTTTTGTACTATTTACTGTGTTAGGTAAACATTTAATGCTCTATCTTCATTTCTGATCTTTATTATCAACAACAGTTACAGAAACATCACTTTTTAATCAAGTCTTTTTCTCAGGATATACATTTCCTCTTTTATCTCAGTGCTAACATTGACCCACTTTTGCATTTAGGTGAGAATTGCTTTGGTAGTCAACTGTTATTCAAAAGTCATAGGAGGCTCAGAATGTTAGAGAGGGAAGGATTTCATTATTCCTCTGATCTAAACCGCTCACTTTTCAAAGATGAAGAAACTGACACCTCCCCTCCCAATGCTAAAAAATCCCCTTAGTCTTTATTGAAACACTGATCACCACAAGATGTAAATATTTATTTATTGTACTTCCTCTCCCAGGGGCTTTATTTAATGCATTATCTCCAACACTGCCTGGGTACAACGTAGATACTTAACAAGTATTTGTGGAGAGAACTAATGAAAGCTGACAATAGTTCTCTTAGTCCCAATTCAGTGTGATTCCTGCCCACTTTCCTGAATAACGAAGTTAGAGAGTCTAGGGGGAAAAATCATCTTTCACGTTAAAGAAAAAAATGAAAGTTACAAATACTTTTTAATAACTTGTTTTCTGATTACAAAATAATCCAAGTTCACTGTTAAAAATCTGAAAAAAAAAACCCACCAAAATGAAGAAAAATCACCTACAATGTTACCTCCCAAAGATAAGTACTGTTAATACTCTTATATATTCTTCCAGTTGTGCATGCAGGTACTTTTTAAACGAAAATAGAACATTCTACTGCAGTTATGGAATGTTCTTTTTTAAAAAAAACTTTAATATTAATTTTTCTGCATCACTAAGTCTTCTCCAGTGTAATTTTAATAGCTGCATGTGATTATATTTGATGGGTAAATCCTATGGAAAGAGCCACTAGTCACCCAGATCATGCTCCTAAAAACAGTTTCTCACTGACCCTCTTAAGACACTGAGGATGTGTTTCTCTAACAATGTCACAGGCCACGGGGCAGGAGCAAACATTTGAAATTTTAATTGTCACCTTTGGATTTTAAAGAGTAATGGTCACCTTCTCCCAGAGAGAAGCACATTAGTGAAGGTGCAGAAGCTTTAATTAATTTGCCACCTGTGGTCTGGCTGCAAAGCCTGACCCTCTTATTGTCACTGACTATTTGATATGCTGTGCCAAATGTCCCACCAAGGAGACACAAAATGAACTAAAAAGAAGGCCAACACATCCTGAAATTTATAGCCACAAAAAACTGGGAACTCCTTTATTGGAAGAATACCTGAACAAAATATATCTTTATAATTTAGAAGTATTTTTAAAAAATCAACTTCTCTGCTTTATCAAAAAACCTATGTGTTTGACTCCTAGATTATTTGGTAAATAATCAAAACTTTATTTACATTCAAGCTTAGGACTTTTTGAAAATTATAAAATGTCTTCATAAAGCTTTAATAAAATAGGTGTGCATAAGACAGAAATCTATAGAAGATATTTGGAATTAAATGTATTATTATTTAGAGTAGCTACACTGCATAAAGTCTATATAACATATATGCTTATTTCAGATCCCACAATGCACAAGAAATAGTGACCACTTAGGAGGAGGTAAACTGCCCTATGGCTTAGAGTTCATATTAACAGCATGAAGAAAATTCAACTTTCTTTTAACTGTCATTTATAGATTATTTGGCCACAACAACACATCAATTCAGAAAGTTGAAAAGTTCATTAATACCCTTTGCAAATCTTTAGGATGGATGGTCTCATATAAAACTTCCTATTTGAACACATAATTATGAAGGCATCTATAATCCTGCACATGGTTTGTCAATTTTAGCATGCAATCAAATAAGTCTACACGTTTGTGCTTATCATGCTCCTGACAAAGAGGGGATGCACAATGAATATCTGTTGATTAACTTAATTCTCTCCCTATGTATGTGAATAGGAAGAATCTCACATACATAGTGACCAGGCCAGGAGTACAACAAATGCTATTCAATGGCTAAAATAACAGTAATAGAATCACTAATGCTGTGGATTTTACTCTAGTGGACCACGTCCTCTCTCAAAACCTAGTTACTCTTACTTTAAAGCATTACAGATTTTGCATACATCTTCAGTGTAGTATAGTGGAAACAGCACAAAATTAGGAGCCAGGAGAATTGGGTTAGTACTAAGCTATGTAGTTAGCCGACTTGGTTAGCTGACCCTCTAGTCCACAAAAGAATAGAGATAACGTATCAGAAGGGGCCAAGAGGGCAGACAAAGAAAGAAAAAAGAAGTGGGCTGGGAAAGAAAGAAACAATGTCAGCAGCAGGATAAGAAAAGAAGAAGACAGAAAAGCTGTAAAGAACAGATACAAATGTTTCATAAAGCACTGGAGTCTGTCTAAAACAAACTGAATAGGGAAATAGCTCCCAAAGTTCTCTATAAGGCATCAGCTCAATGCAATAATTATTTGCAACCATAATTCTAAGTTGTCAAGGTAAGAAAAACTGTAAAACACATCACTTATTAAGAAGGCAGAAATCCGTGTGACACAGGTTAGACATATTTCTTCTGGGGATCTAAAATCTCAAAACATAAAAACAGTTCAATGACATGGCAAATATAAACATGAAGAATTCATTATTGAGTACCTGATAAGCAAGGCATCCCATAAAATGTATATATCTGTGCATACACTGATCTACACATGCATTTGATAAAGAAATAAGAAATTCTATCTATATAAAAGGGAGAGAATACTTCCCACAAAAGGCTCCCATTTGAGCAATGTCATTATTCAGAAGGTTCCAGAGGTTGCGAAATGTTTAAAATATTGAGTTATATCATCTTGATGTCTGCATTTAAAGTACTTCATTTATTTTTATTAGGTGGGGCACACTTTTTATAGATAAACATCAATTTTGTAATATTTATTCCTATGTTAGAGCCAGTTTACTTTCTAAATACAAAATAAATGGCCAAAGACATTTGTTCATTAATTAAGAGGAAAGAAAAAATATTAAATAAGTAGTGGTTAAATAAGGGAGAAAAAAACCCAAGAAGCTGTTTCTAGAAATAATCTCTGAAATAATCGGTAAAGCCACTAGGTGTTGCTATACGCCCAAAAACGAAAATAGCTAAAGGGATTTTTGTTAAGTACATACTCATTTGATTTACCCAAATTCAATCCTCTCCTTGATTTAGCTATAATTCTCAATAACCATGGAAGGGGAGTGATTAGTATAATTAAGAATTTCAATAATGTAGTATTTTTTTCACAGGAGCAATTCATATAGTGAAATTGAATACATAAAAATGTGAACTGGCCTCCTGATACAAAACAAGATCAAGTCAGTTACATGCACTGTGAGTAGTTTGGAAAGCTAGGTTGTTATCATGAGCCTGTCCTTACTTTGCAAGACACAAGACCACAACCATGCGCTGCTGGCAAGAACACATGGTCAACAAAAGGGGTATTGCACTGGTAGTATCTGAGCCATACATTCCTACCCTTGCTAATTCAAACATTTATTGATTACTCACTCATTCAACAAATACTTAATAGATACCCATGACATGCCAGCCACAAAGACTGCTACTTTCAAGAAGCTTATATTCTACTTGTATGTAGTAGGTGTTAGGGAATAAAACGATGACCAAAGGAAATGTGCCTAACTAACCCTTAGTTGCTTGCAACTCATGTGCAGGGGACAGCAACATCATATACAAAAATGTAAGTGCATAATGGTGGAATATGACAAGGTCTACAGGAGGATGGAGAAGCAGCCTTCATTCTGCGTGGGAACAGCTGGAAGGAAGATAGGTAACGTCTAAGACATACCTTAGGAAAACCAGGAGTTCTCTCACAAGTGTAGAAATGATGCGGTAACAGGAGGTGGAAAAGTATGAAGGCAAGAACCCTGTGTGTTTGAGAAAGTGACTTTCTCAGTGTGGCTGAAGAATACATGCATCGGAGTATAGTGGGAGAATCTGAATTCTACATGAAGAAGTTTGAAAATTGGACTGGAGGCAATGAGGAGCCAGCTGAGCTTTTCAGTCAGAGAGATGTGTAGTCAGGTAATTCTGTCAGTGGAGTGCAGGGTGATGCTGGCTGGGGGTGACTGGAGGCAGGAGGCTAACTGGAAGATTAAGGAAATAAGCCAGCTGAGATGTGAGACCCCAACTGAATCAAAGATGGTAACTGCCAGGCTTCAGTAACTGTCTGGCAAGAAGTCAGAGCTGAGGGAAAGGGGTCAGAAATACAATGCCTGTGTTTCCAAGGTAAGTTAAAAAGGAAATTTGAGAGATGGAAAGAGGTCTGGATGGAGGCAGTGGGTGTCTTTTATGAGAAGAGATGGTTTTGGGGTAGACGATTCCATCTGAGAGTTAAAGGAGAAGCTGGTTACCAGCGCACTGCACTCGGCTACCTGATGCCAGTGGTGCACCACATCTGAGAAGAGTCCCTGGCCGCCATGGCGGGCATAACCGAACAGCAGCACAGAGCTGAGCACTCCCACAAGCGGAACACATGTCGAGTCATCTGGCTAAATGCAAGAACACATCCTTGGTTTTCCTCAGGGCACTGGGGCTGCTGGAGTATGGATTTTACCCCATGAGTCAAGTTCTCCTAACACTATAATCTGTGTGGCTGAGCACTAGTATGAAAGTCCAGAACAGACTCCAGGCCAGTTGTAAAAAGAACTGCAGTAGCAATTGAGATAACTCAGATCACCTGCCTCAGTTTCCTCACTTGATAGAGTAGATACAATGCCACTCTGCCTACTTGCCTTCTTCACAGGAAACTGTGAGAATAACATGCAACAGTGTACATCGCTGTGCTCTCCAACAACCACCTAATTGACAATAACCACACCTCTCTTGTGAAGGATGCCTCCTTTATCTTCCTGCTCTCCACCCTTCTCTTTTGAGCCCAGCTCTCTTTCTGCCCACCTTCCACACTACCTT